GAGCAGCGCGGTGTGGGGGGTGGAGGTTTCCAGTCTGCTTCATTTCCTCTTTCCTCCTCTGCTGCGCTGTCAAAGGTGCCTAGTGCAGCTCTCTGCCCCTCCGTGCTGGCAGCTCTGCGGGTACTGCCCGTGCTCTGCACGCCTGTCTCTGTGTGGGGTTTAGCCCTGGTGTACAGCATCACACTGACTCCTCCTGTGGGCACACAGATAGGTCAGGGTGGTAAAACCAGCCCCAAGTGTTGCTGCTTGAAGAGTTTCATCCTATGGATGTGTCTCTACCCTTAAACTCTTTTGATGTGTTGCCACATCAAAGCAAGTGTGTTACAAATTGGGTGGCTGGAGGATTCAGAGGTGTCAAATTGGCTTAATATATATCTGAGTGGGAGAGGAAAAGGTCATTAGTCTTCATCAGTTTTAATATTGGTTCAGTTTTACAATGTTTAGCTATTGATTTTGTCCATGAGACTCACAAGAGGGAAAGTTTTCCCGAATTAAATAAGGTAGTGGAGTATAATTACTCATAGGAAAGAACTAACTCCAAAGTGAATATACCTACTATAGGTCAGGCAACTCTTTGATATGTCATTTATGGCTTGAGAAGCTCATTACATTTCTTAGGTTTCATCAGCTCTGCTAATAATGAGATGCACAGGAGCAAATGACCCTGAACAGAAGTTCCAGGCTGCTCCCTGTTTGGGTGTTCTCTGATTGTACACAGACCTGATGAGCAGGTTGTCAGCCAAAATTGCTGCTGGAGTGTGAGTTAAATGAATAACTTCCACAGCTACACATTTCTGCATTGTGTCTGTGACAACTGGTGTGATTCAAAGGGATTTCATGGGGTAAGGTCTCATCCTCATGCTGTTACATCCATTTTTACTGCTGTGCTGGAGTAACTTTCCCTGGTAACCAGGATTTGTTCACGTCCCTTGTGCTGTAAAACAAGGCTGAAGTAGTGCCATATGTGGAGTTTTGGGCTGCTTGTATCTACCCTATTCCAACCAAATGACCTAACTAAGCTGTTAGTCTGAAATGGGAAAATTTTAGCATTGATCAGGCACTGTTTATGGTTTTATTGTTGTTAAAATAACACCTCTGCTTGCTTGTTGCCAGGCACTGGATGACCATAACTAAACAATGTCTGTCCCACGTGGAGCTGTGCATGCAAAATGGATAGTAGGGAAGGTAATAGGCACCAAAATGCAGAAAACTGCCAAAGTGAGAGTGACAAGGCTGGTGCTGGATCCTTACTTACTAAAGGTAACAGCTGGAGAACAACCTATCTTGCTTGATGGTGTTTGTATTGTGTGGAGGAATGTTTCATGGATTTGACTCCTAGAATTTTGATGACTCTGTGCCATGCAAACTCCTTAAAGAGCTTGTATAAGGGTTTGGCTGTGGGGTTGACTGCAAAGGGTGGAAAGCAGTTTGTTGTGAGGACTTAAAAATTATCTGCTAAGTGTATTTCTTTGAAGTGCCTTGTTAATGCACTTCATTTGATCTCAGTTGAGAAGGTAAGTTTTTGTTGTTTCACACTTAGATTTAATTTTTCATGTTGATGTGGAGTATGCCTTGGAAACCTGACACTATATTAGTCACAATAAATTATATAGCTGTTTTTCTGAATGCATAATTGTAACAGTACTTGGTGTTTGAATCTGTGCTGTGATGTGCTGTGCAAGCTTGTATTTATCCCTTGTCAGTGCATTTCAAACAGGAAGGTTAAAAGAGTGTTTTCTCCATCTTTAGATAGGGAAACTGTGGTCCGTGGAGGTGGGATAACTTGCCTTTGATGACCAGAAGGTAAAGGATAGAGTCAGCTTTGGATAATGGGTCTCATGGAACCCATTTCAATATTTTATCCAGTAAAAGAACCTGTTAGTTTCTTTCTTAAAACAAATAAAAGATTCTGAATTCTGCTGTGCCAATAAATATGAATTCTTATATGAAAGAAAAAGACTTGAGCAAGAAAACTCTCAATGACTAAGATCAAAATACTGATTTTGGAGCTGATGAACTTCAAACAGATTAGGATGAGTAAGAGTTAATGTCATTTCATAAGGTGTGGATGGCATGGGAAGGTCGTTCAGCTTGGCAGGGCCAAGACAGTTGTGTGGCTGAAGCACTGCTGGTGTGAAGCATCCAAAGGAGAGGAAAGGCACAGCTGGACTGGAGAGCAGAGAGACCACTGCAAACTGGTGATGCTGGGAAGGGGAATCTCTGTTTAGTGAAGAACTTGTTACTTTTACCCGTATCCACATGTTCACTGTGAACAGCTCTTTGTCTGTGTCTTTGTCTTTTCTTCCATCTATCCTTTCCTTCTTCTCCTTCTCTTTGTCCTTTTCAGGCTCAGTTGGCAGCACCATCCTGACAAGAGATTGTCTGGGAAGGGCAGTGCTGTGCTTTCTCTGGAGAAACTCTAGAGCGCACAGTTGCATTTATCTTCATGATCCAAACTGAATCTCATTGAAAAAGATACACAAGACTTAATGAAACTTAGTTTATCATAACTAGATATTTACCTATTGCATAATTTTGTAATCTAATGGCAAGATTTTATTTTTTTTTGCCTTTTACAGTTCTTTAACAAAAGAAAAACCTATTTTGCCCATGACCCACTGCAGCAGTGTGTGGTTGGAGACATTGTTCTTCTGAAAGCTCTGCCCGAGCGAAGGAGCAAACACGTGAAACATGAACTGGCTGAAATTGTGTTCAAGGTTGGAAATGTCATAGATCCAATAACAGGAAAACCCTGTGCAGGAACAAGATTCCTGGAAAACCTGTCAGATTCAGAAAATCTGACAGAGGCAGATACTACCTATCTGAGTGAGAAACTTCAGGAACTTAAAGTTTGTTCAACAGATAAATAGTGAGCAAAACAGAGGGCTTCTATCTCCCTGTCAGGGATGATTGAGGCCCTGCTGTGCTATCTTAAATGTTTCAGTGAAATCTGTAGTCAAAACAAATAGTAAATGTAGTTGCTTGTGCAAAGAGATGTCACAGATTGATAGGTACACAGGGCTGTAAATGAAAATACAGAGGAAATGGCAGTTTAGTGTGAAGACTTCATTTTGTTGTGTGTGGCTTTGCCCCAAGCCGTGGCAGTTTTCAGAGCCAGCTTGGAATGACTCCTGTGTGTTGAGGAAGACAAGAAAGCAGCTGTATAATGTTTCATTTTGGTGGGAGGGTCATTGTATTCTTTGATTATTCTGTATTTCAGACAGTCCTTTGTGGTTTGTAAGATGACTGGAGACAATGCTATTAAAGCTTTTGAAAGAGAGTGTAGAATTTTATAACCAGCTACATGCCTGTGTCCTCATTTCCTCTTAGTATCACTCATCCCACGTTCCAGTGCCTTCTGACTTCCAAAAACACAGCCCCTTGCCTTTATGGTGGCTGTGAGGTGAGAATAAATGCTTTGGGCAGCTCAGCATGGTTGGTTTTGTACCCTATCCAAAGGGAGTAGTTAGTTCTGGGAGAGCTGAATCTGCCAGCAGGACAGAGGCTGATGAGAACACAGGGACAAAAACTAAAAGTAAAGATGCTTAGATTTAGTCTCATCAGAAAAGTTAAGACATTATGGGGAAATACTGATACTGGGCTGGGGACCCCCAAACTGGGGTTAGGGTCCCCAAAACCTGGCTGGAATCCTTCCAAAATGAGGCTGGGGTCCTCCCAAATTGGGGTGGGTCCCCTCAAACCAGCATAGGATCCCCCAGGCTGAGCAGGATCCTCCCAAAATAGGGCTGAGGTCCTCCAAGCCAGGCTTAGGTCCTCCCAAATCATGCTGGGGTTCCCTAAGCCAGGCTTGGGGCCCCCTAAATCAGGTTCCCCAAAATTTGGGCTGGGGTTCCACCTGATTGGGGTGGGTCCCCCCAAACCAGAGCTGGGGTTCCTCAAGCCAGGTATAGGTCCTCCCAAATCATGCTGGAGACCCCCAAACCAGTCTATGTTCCCCCTAAACTGGGAGGTCCCTGAAACCAGGGTGAGGATCTCTCAAACTGGGCTGGGGTCCCTCAACTCAGGATATCCCCCCCAGACCAGCCTGAGGCCCAGGGCTGGGGTGAGCCCCCCAAACCAGGG